TGTTTTGTGTAAATGCAATGGTAGTAGCAGATTTTGTGTCCCTAGGCGCCATGGTGAACAAAACAAAGGAGATTAAATTAAAAAAAAATAAAAGGAACAGATGGTATCAAGTGACCTGGTGAACAGGCAACTTATGGTGCAAAGCTCTATGATGTTGTGATGAAGCAAAGTTATGATGGTTACCTTGTCTCTAGGCAACAGGAACTTGAAGACCATTATGGTATAAAAGGTCCATCACTGACTGAGACATCATTAATATGGAACATGGCTGTACTTCACCCCCTACAATATCAGGAAATTGCTAGTAGTATATATCCTTCTTACTCATGAGGAAGGATTTGTATCACCTACTTTGTAAGAGCTGCAATCAAGGCTCACCTCATATTAAAGCTTCCTGTCCAGGAGCTGTTTTCTCTAGAAACAATGCTGATATGTCATTACTGATATGTACATGTACCTTTCACATGTGGACTTTTATCTTTGGCATCTAAATGCTTCCATATGTTTTTTTATATGATCAACATGAACAGTTGGTGAACACTCTTTCATGTTGGTAGGCTCTCAAAGACCATTTACCAGACTTTTCTTTCCTTCATTGTATTTCCAGTTTTTCTAGAACCTTTAAGAAACTATATAGGTCCCTCCCCAGTTTCTCATTGGTTTAAAGCACAGCACTCGAAACTAGCCATAACTGCCTGAGCACGAGCTCGATCCCCAATCAGGAAGGTGACCTACATGGCTTGGAGGACTTCTCCTGCTTTGCCTGCTGCTCCCCTCAACAGTGTACTTCACAGTCTGCCTGTTTCTTCCCTCCATTCTGTTTCTGGTGAACTCTCTCAGCATCCCTGAACCTCTTGCCTATACCCCAGTTCTGTGTGCATAGATAAATAAATCTTAAAAAAAAGAAACTATATAGTATACTATATAGTATAGTATATAAGAATGCTATCTAACAGCCACTACTTATTATGCCTACACCATGTGCCAGAGACTTTACTACACCCTCTATACACATAAGCTAATATGTGGTTTGTAATTGTTACATGATTATATATTTTACAGAAATAGTTTTGGGTAGTTTAATTGTCGAAGGTTAAATAGCATGCAATGGAGCATCAAACTGGATCTTTGAGTATAGATCTGTCTGATTGTAACCATTGTATTGTAATTTTTTTATGTGGGCACATTGTTACAAGGAATAAAATTGGGGTTCTGTTAACATGTGACCCAACTTCTTTGTTTCTAGAACTAAGTGAAATAAATGCATTCAAATGCACTCTTCCCCATGGACTGACTCTCCTAGGGAAACTTGATGTAGTGCAGAAACAGACTATCTTGAAAAAATACAAGAAATAGATTACAAGAAATAGATGACATCTTCCTCAAGTATTGTAGAATAAGTGTCAGTAATATAGATCCCGTGCCTGACAGGTAGTCGGTGGAATTCATATGGTCATTGCTGGTACTTATGTTCACAAAGCCAGGCACTGTCCATCAGCAGATGCTGGCTCTGCATTTACTATGAGCCCCACTACACTGAGGTCAAGATTGTGCAAGGAAAAGTGCAAGGAGACTTACAGGAATGGGTGGAGAAGTTAATTTTCAAAGCAACAACCTCAAGAAAATGCCCTGAGCTCTTGATGTTAACTAAGTCAGGAAGCTTTCTGCTAGATCAAGTAAGCTAACTAAGCTATAGGTTTCAAATGTTTACTTGGGGACACATTGGGAAAAAAAACCCTTATGTTGGTAGATTTAATTTCTCCAGGTTTACTAGATTTACTTGCTCATAAGTAAAATGAGTATAAGCACCTACCTCCTGAATTGAGAGGCTAACACATGTAGAGACCTTGGCACATCAGATACTTCTAACAAATGCACATATTCTACTTATGATGAGATTATATCCCTATAAACCTGTTGTAAATTTAAAGTATCTTATGTAAAAAGTGCATTTAATACACCTAACCTGCTAAATATTAGAGCCAAGCATAACTTGCTTTAAATATGCTTAGGATACTTCTATCGTCCTACAGTTGAGTAACATTATGTAACACAAAGCCTTTTATTTTATAATAACACTGAAAATTGCAGACACAGATGGGCCTAAACATCATGAGTTGTGAAAATACAAAATACAATATCCAAACAAATCTGGCAGTGGAGTACACTGTACAGGATAGTTTGTTTACCCTCACAATTGCATGACTGGGATTTGCAGCTCACTGTCACTGCCAGCATCACAAAAGTGTTTTATATGGAGTGCAACTAATGGTCAGAATTCAAAATTTGATCAAAATATGGTTTCTAGTGAATGTGTAGTGTTTTTGCACCATCATTAAAGTCAAAAAAGTTACAGGTGACACCTCAGAAGTTGGGACTGCTCATACTCTCTGTTATTGGGATGTTGCTTCCTTTCCACTTCACCCAAGGTAGAGCAGGACTTGATCTCAGTTTTGTTTGGTTAGCTCAGCTCCAATAATCCCATAAAATTTTTAAGGCATAAAGTACACGTATACTCACGCTAGCCTGGAAAAAAAGATACTGTGATAATGTGATCAATAATAAGTTTTTCGGTGGCAGTATTATTTTCAAATGATTCATAGGCTTGTAAATGTCATTGGCTTCAGTGCTTATGAAAGTGAAACTGACAGCTCAATGCCCAGGGCAGCAAATACACAATTCTCCTGTTTTTGTTCCAAGTCCCTAAAATAGCTTTGCATCTCAGGTCAGAAGTTCATTTTCACTATTTCTTTGCCATTAACATAGACTGGGATTACTCAGTGTACTCTTACCTAATTTCTGAGATGCAGACAGCTTTGACTAGGAATTGGGAAAATCAAAGAGCAACCCATGTTCTTAGAACCAGAATGTTGGCACAAAATCCATTATTACCATCACCTATTTACATAAACTTTCCCCATGAGTCATGTCTTCTGATCCTCTCCAAACCTCTGGAAAGGCAGAAAAGATTTAATTTCCATTTTTTCATTAAGAAATGAAAATCAGGACTCTCCCTGGTGGCACAAAGGGTTAAAACTCCACACTATGAAGCTCTCAGAAGCCACTATAGCAGGAGTTGGTTCCCCAGCCAGGGAGCTGACCCACATGGAGCTGCAGACCTTTCCTAACCTGCCCTCTGCTCCCCTAGGCAGTGTGTTTTAGTACATTTGCCTGTTCTGTTCCCCACTCTGTCTCTGGTGACTCCTTTCACCCACCATACCTCTGGCCTATACCCTAGTTCTATATGCTTAAATAAATAAATCTTTAAAAAAGGAAAGAAATGAGAATCAGAAAGGTGAAGTGATATGCTCTTAATTGGCATGATGCGGACTTAAACCCAAATATGCCTCCAAAACCAAACTCTTTCTACAGTACTGCACATTGCTGCTTACCCTTGTCTTGTCTGCAAGAAAATCACATTCACAGATCTTGAATCTTCATATCAGTATCAAGTTGCACCCTTCAAAGAGAATGAGCTTCACCAATTCAAAGCACTTTTTTTTGTTTGTTGAAATTGTTTCAAAGGCCCAGAGTTGACTGTATTCGTAAAGTTTGAAGATAGACATGGTTGGCATATAATTGCTTGTGATCCTACCAGATCAGATCCGATCACCATGTCCCCTGATATTTATATGGGTTCACTGGCCAGGAGCTTGTACCAGAGGGTTTACTTTAAGTGGGATCACCACAGGGTGAATGCCAGGCTCTCCCTAAGTACAGATGGCCTCTACTGTAAACCTTGTTCCAGTTCTGCCCCTTCCTTCTCTTTCCTGGGCCTCCAGGACTTGAATTTCCAACACTTGGGGTCTTGAAGATGACTTGTTCTTTAGAAAAATTCCTTCACTGTATATTATCAGTTTACAGTGATAATATAATAAGATTTTTTTTAACTAGGTTTCTGTTGCTAGGTGTCATAAACTTCATTGGTTAGGCTCCAAGAGCCTGCATAATAAATGAGCATAAGTGACACAATAAACATTAAATAAGATGTAAAAGGACTATAAAAATGTTAGCTTGATATAACTAGAAAGAAGGGAAAGGCTGGCACACTAGTCTGAGAAGAGGATGTGAATTGACTGTACCTTGAGCTCAGAGCACAAGGCCTGCCCAAGGACACTGCACTGGAAGGCTCACATGTTGTACCCTCAACATTTGGGTTGCTGTGACATGCAGCCATCTGTGTCTGGGAGTGTAAAACAAATGGTTAATGGCATCAGATGGTTGGTGAGCTCAAATGTCCCCCACTTAATGCCTTAGGAGGGAGAAGAGCCCTCTAGAGAAATAATAAAGAATGCTGTTTTCAAAGTTGCAATTAATCGTGCATTCAGGAAGGCTCATCTCCTGCCAGAAAGGGACAATAAAGGTTGGTGAGGGACCTTTGATTGAGAGGGCAATTTTTGTAAATTTTTTTTAAAAGATTTATTTATTTATGCTTACAAAACTTGGGTAGAGGCCAGAGGTGCAGGAGCAGTGAGAGGATTCACCTGAGAAATACTGGGTAGCAGAATAGGCCGACTGATGAAATACACTGCTGAGGGAAGCAGTGGAAGGGTCAGAAGAGGTCTGTCGCACCATGTGGATCAGCTCCCTGGCCAGCCGGGGATCGAACTTGTGCTGCTTTGCTTCAGAGAGCTTCATAATGTGGTGCTTTAACCCATTGTGCTACCAGGGAGAGCCCCTTTGTAATGTTTTTAAAGTCAAGAGGGCATATACAATGCCCAAATCCCAAGGGTCATGGAATAAAGTTGTATGGGTCATGTCCTGGGGTGGTTTAGCATCTTACTTTTTCAGTCAAGAATGTGGCTAAGGGTATATCTGACCTTCTCACCTTAAACTTCAAAATCTTAGGGACGATTGGTTGCTTCTACAAGCTGTCTTTTTGCCATTGTTGTTTAAACCAAATTATGCCTCTTGCCAGTTTTCTCTGGAGCATCTGCGTTGGCAGTGTCCTCTCATTTCACTTTTCAGACTTAATCTCTCATTTTCTTTCTTTCTTCCAGCTAGTGAGACCTGCAATGACTTCCACCCAATGTTCTTCACCCATGAAAGATCTTTTGAGGAGTTTTTCTGCATTTGTATCCAGCTTTTGAATAAGACATGGAAGGAAATGAGGGCAACTTCTGAAGACTTCAACAAGGTAAGGTGAATCTAGTGGAGAGAGAGATTCTTTGTCCCCAAAGGAGTCTCCGTGAGCATGGTGCCTGGGCTGTGTGCAGGAAGACAGATGGTAGGTTGAGAGAATGATGATGGCTATGATTTTGGGTTGTTTTGAGAATGTAAAAAGAATGACCTACCTATGTAATCATAAAGCTGTATGTCAGTGATGTTCTCACTTCTAGGTTTAAGTTTAGAGAGCTTTTTTCCTTTTGGCTTACTTAGCTGAGACCCTTTCTTTAGAAATATTGTCCAGATGAAATTTTCCCTGACATGATTTTGGCCTGTGATGCCTGGTTATTGCAACATCTATTGAGAAAATGCCTTCCCATCACTGCAAGTAACTAGCGATGAGAGACTGAAATTGGGAAGGCTGCTCTGTTTAGGTCACTTGGATTTTCTTTTTTGAGGATTTTAGTTATGTTGAGATGATCAGAAAGTTTTTTTTTTTATTATTAAAATGCAAGATGTAGTTTAAGGAGTTGACTATGTATACAGGGAGTATTTCTTATTTTATAATAAGCCTTTGATTCTTTGAACTGAAGTCTCCTTTGATTTTCTTTAAGAGTGTGATAAACTCATTTCTGTCTGTGAGTGAATATTAAGTGAAGAGAACAGTATTGACCAACTCAGAGGAAGTGGAGGCATCCAGTGTACTTTTCAAGATAAATACAATGTTTATCCTGAGATAAACACCTTGTTGGCAATAAAGACAATAAATAACTGAGGGTGGGGACAAATATATCATGGCTTATAATACTTCTAATTTGCCACTCTAATTTTATTTTCCTACTGCTATTGTAATTTGCTACTGAGCTGGGTATTGGATAACCCCATCACCTAGATCTAGGGTACTCCCTGACCTGATCTAGGTACTTAAGTTTATACAAATAGAAAGGTATGGCTTCACAGTCACCGTGTTGGCCTCCAGATGCTTGGGCTTGGGGTACAATACTATCCACCTTCCTGCTATATTTGATATTCTTACTGATGTTCTTGATATTTGCTTCCTTGCCACCCTTCCTTGGAATTTACCTCTAATCCTTTTCTACCATATTTCTGGTTGATATCTTGAGACAATATTGGCTGAAAAGAAAGAAAACCAGGTGAAGGAAATGCTGCTCATTCCCAGGTCTCACTGTCTCACCAGAATAAGGTGCTTAACTGCAATTTTAGCAGACATATTCTATGCTATCTCAGCATGGGCCATCTATGGAATCATTGGCATAGATCCCATGGATGACCCACTCTAGAACACTGATCTGGAAGCTGCAATCTACAGCTGCAAAGGATCAGCCATGCTTTATAAAAGCATAATTCAGGAAAGGAAATGGAGGGAAGAAGTCCATTAATTCCCTTGTGATTATAATAGTGGCCTCTTGAGTGTACTCAGTGCAATTATGAGTGACTTTGAGATTCAGGTGCAAATCATCCCTGGGAGAGAGGAGGAAAGGACATGGAGACCTTTATACAGTCAAGCCAAGAAAAAGTAGAGAGTAAATCAATTATCTCTTAAATGATTATGACCACCTTGCCTCCTATTAATTTAATCCTTTAGAGACTGCAGTTTTTGTGTTTCTTTGTGCTACCTCGTCCCCAAGAGAAGACCACACCAGACAGGCTTTGAGCTTTGAGCTTAGAGTGGCATCAGTTGTCCACTTGCTTTCTGAGAGGATCTCATTGATCCTTCTTGTCCTCAGTTCCAGAAATCTGCATTTTTATAATTAAGTATGATGTAGATATTGTTGTTGATCTGTACACAGTATGGAAAAATGTCATAAAATTCCTACAAAGGAACTTACAAATTTAAATCCTCTATGATTTAAGTTTATGATGTGAAGCTCCAGGAATGTGTTGTTAACTAAGGAAGTCAGAAGTATTTGTCTGAAGGAGGTAAGCAGAGCTGGTGGAGGGAAGTGAGCATGGCTCTCTGGTCCTATGGTTCTTCATGGCCATGTGTTCAGGTTGGTGGCAGTGATATCCTGCCCACACAGGGGGAGATCCTGAAATGTCAGCAAGTTCCCTAAAGTGACATTCTGAAACTTTTCTTCACTGTTGACTTATATAGTGGCAAATGCACTCTATAGCAAGATCTAAGAGCCAGGTTTTGAGTATAGTGTCTTATATGACCCTAGTGCTCTCTTGTTGCATTATCTAATAGATCATAAACTAGCATCTGTCCTCACAAATTGCTGCCAACTAGGAGTGGCAGTTTATGGCTGTGGACAGACAACTGGGGGCCTAGAAGCAGAGGGTCCTACCCCATGTCCCAGAAATCTGCCCCTTAAATGTGTATATCAGAGGGTCAGCTATGGGGAGGACAAGGGATTTAATGTTCTACATGAGACATTATTACTTTTGCTTTTTTCTGTTCAGTACTGTGACCCTCTTACTTTTGTAACCAAAAGAATATCATAATTGTATACTTAATCACGTGAGTATTATTCTCTAATGCCTCTGTAACAAAGATTACAAATGAGGTGACTTAAATAATGCAAATTAATTTTCTCACATTTCCATAGTTCATAAAGGAACAACTAGTCTTCCTAGGCTTAAATCATGTCAGTGAAGGTATATCCTGCTGAAGCATCTAAGAAGAGAATCCATTTCTTCTGTTCTTTCCAAGTTCAGGAAACCAGCTGTTTTACTTAGTATCTGGCCCACTTGTCCATCTTCAAAACAGCAACCACAAGTTCAGCCCTTTCACATCAAATCTCATTGTTCTGATCCTTCTTTTGCCTCCATCTTTCACTTTAAAGAGCCCCTCTCACTCCCCTGGGCCACCAGCATGAGCCAGGACATATTTCCTTAAAGCATTTAATTTTAGCTGTTAAGTAACCTCAAGTCTACCCGCAACCTAAATTATTCCTTTTTCCCCATAGAAGGTAATGTATTCAAAGGTTCTGGGGATTATTCTGCCTACTGTAATGTGTAATATGAAGACATATTAAGTTTGTAGACATATGTATCAATTTAAATTAATGAAAAATTGTCAGATGACATTTTTGTTCTTCTATTAACTAGTAGACTAGCACAATACCAATGATAGAATTCTGCTAGCAGTTGCTCAAATACTGTGTGTGTGCGCATGTATAGCGTGTATAAATATATATATGTGTATACATATGTACACACATATACACACACATACATATACACATATATATGTGCGTATATGTGTGTATGTATATATATATATATGCACAAACATATATAATTATGTCTCTTTACTTTTATCTCTGTTCTGCCTCCATTTACCTTTACAAAAGAGAAGAGCCCTGTGTGAGTGTCTTTAGTTGAGTTTGAAGAATGTCTTTTGGATTTTTTCCCTGATGCCTAACTATCAGCCTCTGCTGTCTTACCAGATAATAAATTAAAAAAAGGATGAGTTAAAATTTAAATCAGATCACTTTTCTTTTTGTTACTAACTTGGTAGCAGAGAGATTGAAATTAGGGACAAATCTGAATTTGGAGTTACTAGTAAATGTAAGATTTGTCTTGTTCCCTGAGTTTATCCAAACTTAACTTCAGAGATAGCTTAAAAGAAACAGAAGCATAGAAAGTTTATTTGTTGAACTGAGACCCAGGGTTCTGTAAGAAAGTCTTAGTCAGCTACCTTATTTACCTCATCACTAGAGAAGCTATAGCCATCCAAATTTTTGTTTTGACCAATAAATAAAACTCATTTCCAGTTAAACCAGGCATCTTTTCTATGAACCTACTTTGCTCGGAACAGATACTACTTGTGGACAATTTAGTGCTGGGTTGATAATGCTTCTGCTCGAAGTGAGTATTTGGAATGGCAGCAGTCTTCCTGTTGCTCTAGACTAGGGAAGCAGCAGAGGAGATTTTTTTTTATTATTATTTATATAAGAGAAGTAAAATTATAGAGTGATTAAAATATTTATGCTTTGAAAAATACTTTTCAGTTTCTCAATATAGCAATCTCTGCAGAATAATCCATTGATTCAGACCATTGAGTTTGAATTCTGTTTTTGCCTTTTATTACCAATATTTTAGAGCATGCTTTATTCATTTTTATGGGTTTTAGAGAAACCTAACTGCAGCTGGATACCTCAGCACACACGTGGCCTTATAGTCATTTCTTTGAAGCCCTCGTTTTTAAATAGGGAAGTAAACAGGTATGAGACTTCCACCGAAAGCTTTTGGCTGCCTGCTGCACCTTAAAGATCCTGGCAAGGGTATATACATGAAAATATATGTGGGTATAGTAGTGTTTCTTAGTTTGTAATATGACTCACCTGAGGGGCTTTTGAAGCCCCCCTCCATTATCCCAGTCCCCAAATGCAGCACATTCCAGTTCTGTTTTTGGGGTAGCCAAAATTATCAATGAATATTTTTCTTAAGACAATTTGATCACTAAAGGCAAATAATTTTCACTGAATTACTGTCAGCTTACATTTAACACATATCACCAACTAATACAAATTGTGTGCACTGATGAATTAGTGTTGGTCTGCAAAATCCAGTCCTGGTTTTGTCTGGGAAATCTAAGCCTGAAAATCTTTTTTTAGTTGCATATCAGTATCCCATCATCCTCTCTTATGCAGAATGGTATTAATTTGAAGTAATAAATATAAAAATTCTTTGAGGAAGTAAAATGTTATATGCATTTGTAATGTGTTCTTTTTACATGTAATAAGATAAATCATGTCTATAAAAATTTAGTACATTGCCCTTTTCAAACTAAGCCTTTTAAGGCCATGATGTGTTTTAAAAAAAAGGAAAAGCTTCATGTTGTTTCTTTATTTGTTCCGACTTATATAGAAACAACCCAAGTGCCCAGTTACAGATGAGTGGATTAAGAGGATGTGGTAAATATACAATGGAATATTAATCAGTTATAAAAAAAGATGAAACATGTACAGAACTTGAGAGGATTATGCTAAGTGAAGCATATCAGAATGAGAAAGATAAATAACGGATGATTTTACTCATCTGTGGAATATAAAGAAACAAAAC